GTGTGTGTGTGTGTATATATGTATGTATATGCCCAATGAGCAATACACTTATCAACCAACATCTTTGTTTCAGCAGAAAAATACATCAATATTTATAATAATTTGAGTGAAAAGATCTAAGCAACCACACATTGCTTGGTGTGTATTGCTTGGGGACAATTCTCTGCCACCAAATAAATTTTGCCACCAAGTTTACATGTAATTTTCAACTTTCAAAGATTTTTTTTTAATCGCAAGAAAAGGGATTATGGACCCGTACATACTGTTTTCTTGAAGTGTTTGAAATTGTTAATTTTGTACTGAAAAATTTCATGCAAGGAAAAGTAAATACACGTGGTCTTGGGGGACAAATTTTATCCATTAGTAACAGAACAATATTCTCAGAAGTTAGCTTATGAACCAAGATACTCACCACTCTGGGCCAAATTATCACTTAAAAGACCTCATCTAAAACAAAATGCTGGTGATACATTTTTGAGACTCTTTTTAAGTTCTAGAAGTTTCTTTACGTTAGACTTATATACTGATTTTCCTTTATTAGTCCATTTTGCCTCAAGTGACCTGTAGGATTCCAGGAACCTAGAATTAATTCCTGTGGCTATTTTGCATGTCAGTGACTAGCATAAATTTCACTCACTGAATATTTCTACTCTATTCTGCTGTGAGTAAATAACTACACTTTTCTTATCTGCATTGTTGTCATTGAGCCAGTGTGTTCTCCTTCCTTAGGCATTTAAACTTTTACGAATGAAACTTTTACAAATGGCAACTGATGCATAAGTATTAGCTATTCAGGCTAGCATTATAGAGGAGTGCCAAATATAACATCTTTCCGGCTTTGCCCTCATTATAGTATGCTGATAAGCAATCAGATGATAAAGGGCAACATTTTCTACGAATTATACACTGGATGGAATCAAATCATCTTAGAATATTAGAGCTAGAAGAAACTTGAAGGTGACTTCTAGGTCAAACCCTTCCATTTTCAAAGGAGGAAACTGACAATCACTGTGATTGTACATGAATCACTCAATGTTACTCAGCTGGTTAAGAGAAAGAGACAATAGTAGAAGCAAAATCTCTAGATTCCCAGTGTAGCCTTTTTCTCCGTAATACTAGGTTGTTCAGCTGTCAAATACAAACCTAGCTCATGCTTACTGAGTAGCTATGAGCTCTGCATTAGACATCACGCCGAGTATTATGAGCAAGTGTTATACATGGTGTTTATCATCAAGGTAAAGTACAAAAACCTTGGCAATATAATGGAGCCTTTGATAAGTGCAAGCCTTAGGAGAAATATATTGTGTCAGTCTGCTCTAGAATCTTTAAGAGAAACTTCATATAAATTTGGAATAAACAATAAAGGGAGCCAGGTGCTGTGGCTCATGCCTATAATCCCAGCACTTTGGGAGGCCAAGATGAATGGATCACTGGATGTCAGGAGTTCAAGATCAGCCTGGCCAACATGGTGAAAACCTGTTTCTACTAAAAATACAAAAGTAGCCAGGCATAGTGGCATGCACATGTAATCCCAGCTACTCGGGAGACTGAGGCAGGAGAATCACTTGCTCTCAGAAGGCAGAGGTTGCAGTGAGCCAAGATCGTGCCATTGTACTCCAGCCTGGACAACAAGAGCAAAACTCCATCTCATAAAAAAAAAGGTGGGGGGTGCTTGTCAGATTACTTAGGCAGAAGGAGACAAAAACAAAATACAAACAGGACTAGGCAAAAATTTGTCTTCTTGGCTCACATATCTTAGAATTCCAGGGGTTTAGGTAAGATGTTTCATGATTCTACAATACCGGGTATGATTATAGGTTCCTTGAATGATGGAATAAATCACAATAACACTCAGATATAGAAAAAACAGAACTCTGCTTCTTACAGCTCTAAATTAGTCAAAGGCCACAAAGGAAATTGTACCCAGGAACAGAACTACAGCAAGCTGAGACTGTTGGAGGTAGCTTGCAAATGGAAAATGGGATAGAGATGACTAGGCTTTGCAGGTCTCCGGAAGAATGGGTATTTTAAATAATTTTCTAGCCCAAGGAAGTAGGGACTGTTTCTGGGTGTTAGAGATTTGGGGATCTATGGTATTTGGATCTATGTGTACTATAATCCAGGATTATTAAAGCCTAAGAAGGGATATATTTGGCATAGAGCCTTAGCAAACTGTCCATGAAGGGGAATTGGAAGTTTTTAGCTGTGGCTGCAAACTTTCGTCAAGATAATGGTTGTGAGATATACCAGAGCAACAGGTTTATTATATCTTGATAACTTAATAGAGAGAGTATACACTTTTTCTAATAATATTGACAAAGGTCCTGGCTTCGACTGCCATTGGTTTCAATTAAGCAATATGCTGAATTCTTTACACAATATTGTAGCCAAAGAAATAGATTACTGATTGACAGTGACCTGGTCATATGCTCGTTCCTGCAGCTGGAAGGTGGAGGCAATAACTCCCTGACTGTATTGTCTGATGGTATATAGGGAGATGGTTCCTCAAAAGAAAGTCACAGACCTTTTATCACAAGAAGAAGACAGAATTATTGGTTAAAAAAATAATGAATATCCATTAAATAAGTGTACCATGTCATTTATGTTATAAACTGAGGCTCTTTTGAGAAAAAGAGTCTATTGGTAATATTGATAATTCTGTCATGACAATTGGATACATGGAAACTGTACAGTGAAAACAAATATGTATGGTCATGCTACCATTGTACAGTTTTTTAGAGAGATACAGACCCTAAGGAGGAATTCTATATTAATTAAATGCATCTATATAGAGATAATACATAATGCATGTGCACAGGAAATAGATCTTTGTCACAAGATTGGAAGTATTTAGTAGTAGTCTTGTGAGAAAAGGAAGATGAGAAACCTATTGTGTATAGTCTTGAATATCATTCCAAAGACTTTGGATGTTTGTGAAATTGAAAGTGATTAAACTCTCCATTGAATAAACAGGCATAATTGGACCAATCTTTGTTTTAGGAAGAAAATTTTGATGTAACATTTAAATGAGTAGAAGGGACAGGAGATTTAGGGCAGGAAGACTATTCAGAGATCCATTTTTTTTTTTTAATCTTCAAAGCCACTACTCTGTTTAAAACCTTCATTATTCCTTTCTTGTACTATAAATGTAGCTTTTAATTACTCTGTATAATTCCACTTTTTACTCCATCTCTTTCATTCTCCACGGTGGCCAGAGATATAACGTAAATTTTGATTCTGTTCTGCTTTAAATTCTCAAGTATAATCTGAAAGTACAACATTCATATGCATTAACATGTCCTAAATGTCTTGTATATTTTAGCCTCTTTCCCTTTCTCCAACCTTGTCTCATGCCACAGTCCTTCTGAATATCAAACCGGACTTTCTCACATCTTTGAACATGCAACTCAAGCCTTGCTATAGGACCTGGGCACACTGTCTCTCTTTTGTTTAGGAAGCTAGTCCCATCCTTCCTTCATACCTATTGTAATCCCTACAACTCTTCACTTTTCACCCCATGTACACATACTCTTTGCCTGGCAAAGAGCTACTCATATTTCAAGCCTCAGCTAAAAAATGCTAATTGAACTCCACCCTATAAATCTCATACATCTTACATTTTTCTTTAACATTATCATATTTACTACACAAATATTTATCTGTGTGTGTAAGGTTTTTTTGTTTTTTTTTCTGTTTTCGTTAAATGTCTCTCACAAGACAGCAGTACCTCAAAGGTAGAAATGAAGGAATTTAGGTTCACCATTAACATCTTAGTGCCCATTGTCTTGCAAAGAATGTAATTATATAAGGAAACAAATAAATAAATGTTTATGAAAATATAATAAATGAATCAATGGATATAACATATGATCTAATTTATGTAAGGTGCTAAAGGTTGTGGTATCAAAAGGATTGGAAAGATGATGTCAGATATGAGAACATTTGAGAAAGAACATTGACTCAATATATATGTTGACCCCTGAATATTGTTTTTCTTCCTGTGATTTTTATCCTTTGATTAAATTTGGAAAGCATTTAATTTAAATTTTATTTAAATGTTAAATATAATCAATATTTTTGGTTTAAGATGAAGGAACTCATGACAGAAAGAAATGAAAGATTTTTAAAATTTAAAAATACATCAGAGAACTGATAAAAATTTTATTATTTACTATCATCACACTTAAACTCCACACACTTCCAAAAAATATTTAAGATTTCAATAAAATATGTTTCCACTATGTTAAAGTTTCTAAAGGCTCTTATCACTTGATATATAATAGTTTTATCAAATGTAACCTACTACCTCTCTTGATAGAAAAGCTGCAAAATTATACCATAAAAAGTCATAGAAATAATAAAGGCAATAATAGTGGCTGTTTTTGTAAACAATCAACCATACTCTTTTACAGTCATAGAGTTCATAATAACTGAGCTTAATTGTCAAGATTAGTTGCTGAGCCAACCTACATGAGTTGCTACAGAGCATGGACATAGATGAGTTTATTCTGAGCTTATTCTAAGTTTTTATGAGCTTAGGAGTTTTTATGAACCTCTTATTAGATTTCTCTTTTGGGCTAAAGGCCAAACTAACACTTTATCTTGATTTCATTTATCACTACGTAGCTTAAATGTCAAAATAAATTAGAGAAAATTATGATGTAACCCCTTAGGAAAAGCATGTGTCATACCTGAAAGATAACACTGCTAGAAATTGATTTCTTGCAGAAATTTTGTAACACAATATTAATTTTATTTCTTGTGATATTAGGACAAATAATGTTTTCTAATATTTGAGGTGTGAATTGAAATTAAGAAAATATGAGCTGAAATTACTGGAGTTTGCAGAACAAATGTATGTGTAGAAAGCATCCATTTAGGTTGGTTTATTTTGGAAAATAGTATTAATACTAAATTGAATTAATATGCAGCAAATATATGCTTATTAAAATATTCATGTTTGTACATTTTTCATTTCATGACAATTTTGTCTCTTTCAGACTCTTGAGATACTGACTGGAAGATAGACTTTTTTTTTCCACCTGATTGTATGGGAGAAATTTTTGACCTTAGAAAGTGGAAATGAGGTTGCTATGGAAACTGGTAATTCTGCTGCCACTCATAAACTCTTGTGCAGGTAAAGTGTTCTATTATTATGAGTTTTGATTGATAAATATATTGGCATTGTATTTCTTTCTACGGGTGAAGCAATTTTCAAAATGCACAATTCGTATGTTATTTGAATGACTAAGTGATAATGTTTTGAAGGTAACCTCTATGACTCAGACAGGGAAAGTTTAATCCTTAAAAATGTATCAAATGCCAGTTTTAAATGGAAACTAACATTATTACATTTATAAGTTGTCAAATATGACATTTTTATACAATGTAATTATGTAATATTTAATTATGTAATAATGTAGTATGACATTTTTATAAAAGAATACAATTAAATACTTTTTACCACCAATAAACAGTGAATAATTTTTCTTATTTTCATTATAGTGAAGTTTTTAAAAAAATATAATTAAAACACATATTTTCTCGCATGTTTAGAATTTGATATGACAAAAAAAAAGCTATATTCATTTAGAAGAAAAGGTGATATGAAATGTTACCTAAGAACTAGAAATAACCTTAGATATATTTTCTTTTTAATTATTGCAAAAGAATAGACAAGAACATGTTTTTATGTTCAACTTAAACACGTTAATATCTGTATATCAGTTAACTTTTGCTTTGTAACAAGCCATGCCAAATGTGAGCATAATAAAATAACAAATAGTCATATATTTCGTTGATAAATCTGTGTGTTGGCAATTTAGGATGGGCTCAAGTGGGTCTTCTTTTGGTTTTGCCTGGGTGCACTGCATCTTTGATGAGTTGAGTCATCTGAGACGTGACTACTCTAGAACATTCCTAACTGAGACAACTGTGCTGCCATGGCTCTGGTCCAAATGTTACCCTCTATGAGTCTGGATTCTTTTATATGGTAACTGCTCAGTGTTTCAAGAAAACAAAAGACAGAAAGACGCAGCATTTCCTGATGCCAAGGCTTGGAACTGCTACATTGCCATTTCTGTGACATTATTTTGACAATTATAAGTCACAAGACCAGTCCAGCTTCAATGGATGTGGAATGATACTACATCTCTTGATAGAAAAACTGCAAAATTTTACCATAAAAAGGCCATAAAAATAATAAAGGCAATAATTGTGGCTGTTTTTGTAAACAATCAACCCTAGTCTGTTACAATCATAGAGTTCATAATTACTGAGCTTAATTGTCAAGATTAATTGTTGAGCCTAACTATATGAGTTGTTACAGAGCATGGACATTTATTAGATCATGGGATTATCAAAGAAGCCTCTCTTCTACCATGCTATGCTTCTTCCCCCTGACTATGTGATGATAGGTGCTAGTGAAGTTTCACATACTTATGACAAAGCAGTAATATATTGAGAGACATGCAGAAATAAACATAATAATTTACAAGGCAGAAACACAGTAATTGCAAAGGACATATATTTTATAGCAATCCTGAGAAATAGATATGCTGATCTTAAAAGGAATGAGAATGTTAAAATATGCAGAAATCAACCAGGAGATTCAGAAAACCACATAAATAAAAGCAATTTTACCACTAGCAAAGCTAACAGCTAGAAGTGCTATAGTTATATTTACTCAAAGTGATTACAGTATTTTCATTGGAGACACTTCTAGGTCTCTAAAACAAAGATTTGGGGTTAAATAATAATGTATTCTTTTTTTGATAATAGATTAAGAAAAGACAGAAAAAGTCATCAAGATGCCCCCAAATCATACATGTATGAATAAGAATTATATTCCTACTCTTAAGTTTCATCTTCCTGTCAAAATTCAACATTAACATTTTGCCCTTTAAATATGTATATTGAATTAGCATAGGATCTCTAAAAGACCTTTCGTGTTAAATTGAAATAAATTATTATTCTCAGAACACATATCAAATCTGAGAAATACTCCAGCTCTTATATTAACTTTTATTTATCCAAATTGGATGTGATTCAACATGTCCTGTTGCTTTATTCTAATGGGTGAAATAATCATATACCCTTGGTGCACAATTTCCTTGTGAAAGAACAGATTGGATCTATTTTTTTAAAGCCATAGCTACTTAAATAAGATAATCTAAGCTAAACATTGCCCCCGAGGTAAGGATGTTGATAATGATATACACAAGACAGTATTGCTTTAAATGTGTTTGTTTTGTTAGAGATTTCGTGGTGTGTCTCCCTATTGGCAGATACTATTTTAGCTGAGAAAATTAGATTGTCTGATGATAGAGTTCTGTGACTATGCATAGTGATAACATCTTGTTTTTCCAAAATATACTTTTTATTCATTCTGAAATAGCAGCAAATCTTTCACAATTACTTGCTTTTTCCTTGCTATTTTAATTATTATAATTTTTCTAAAAGGTTGATACTTTAAATCTCCCTAGACTCTAAATTAAAACTTAAAATTTTTTGACAATCTCTCCTCTCATTTTCTAAAACTTAACTGCAACTTCTAGTGCCTTTATAGACATTGGCCTCACAGGCCTTCGAAATGAAACTTAATCCCTACAGTCATACATGATTGATTCTGGGACACTTTTAAAGTTTTGAGTACTTAAAAATTTGATTGATCTGTGTTAGTATTTTTAAAATATTAGAAGAAAACCAAGGCACATTTAATTAGGAAATATGGTTACTAATTGTATACTTTTTAACTGTTTCATTGATATGCATGACAGGATAAATAATGACCCCAAATATATCTAGGTCCTAATACCTGGAACCTGTGAGTGCTGCCTGATACAGTAAAGTGGATTTTGCAGATGTGATTAAGTTAAGGATCTTCAGTTGGGGAGATTAATGGCCCTGGATTATCCAGATTGTAAGAGGGAGGCAGAGTTAGACCTGACAGAGGGGAGGCAATGTGGCAGCAGAGCAGAGGGAGATGTGAAGATGCTGCACTGCTAGACTTCAAGACTGAGAAAGGGATCATGAGCCACCGGGTGTGATGAAGGAAGCTCTAGATGCTGGGAAAGGCAGGGAAAGAGATTCTCCCCTCGATCTATGGAGGGGGCATGGCTCTGCCTGCACCTTGTTTTCAGCCCTATGAATCCCATTTTGGACTTCTGACCTCCAGGACTCTAATATGTACTGTTTTAAGCCATAACATTTGTGGTAACTTTTATAGAAGTCATAAGAAACTAAATTCCTATGTTTCTTCCTCACTATGCTTTAAGCTTCCAGATGGCAGGGACTATATCTTGCTGGTACTTGGTAGGGATTCCATAAATATTTGTTAAATGAATGAATTAATTAATTACCAAAAGTTAATGTTGTTGGTCCTATTTATGTTATCATAGTAGAATAAATTTAGTCATATAATATCCTCTGGGGAACTGTTAGTCTGGTTCATTCCTTTATGGTTGCCAGTGTGTATTAAAGTTATGGTCGTAAGTTTCTAGAAGTAGAATTTTAATGACATTTTAAAAGTTTTAAATCATGCCCTATTTGAAACTCTGTGAGGGTGGGAAATTACATCTGCTTTATGTTTTACTGCTTCTCCATCCCCTAATACATGGATTCTAAATATTTGCTAAATGAATAAAAGAAAGGTTCATTCACTTCAACAAATATCAAAATATATTATAAACTGTGATGTGCCAGACAAGGAGCTTGGTGTTGACCTTCAATAATAGGTCCATGGGTTCCTGCCCTCTTCAACCTGCCAGTCTAAACAGGGAAACCAGCAAGTAAGTCCACTTCAGTTGAGATTCTGCCCCTTGTGACAGAAAGTTCTTCACTAATACAAATTAGAAAATTTGGTTTTGAGGTTGAGTTTGTAACAGAACTCTGCTGGGATAAATGCTTATTCACTACGGAAAATGAGGAAAAGAGCAAATAAAGGAATTATAAGAAGCACAATAATTCCTGGAAGGAAAAAAAAAATCAAGAGGTTTCATATAGACTAAGAACATTTATTTTTGGCCTCAAATATACATATCTTAGAGTAGAAAAAATATATCAATGAGATAATTTGGATAACCAAATTAATATATGGAGAAAAATTTATAACTGTAATTTTATTTTTTGTCCTTGTAGACAATGCACAGATTGTTTTCATGAAGAAATATTTGATTTATTTATTTACTTACTTACTTATTTATTTTTTGAGATGGAGTCTCGCTCTATTGCCCAGGCTGGAGTGCGGTGGCGCCATATCAGCTCACTGCAACCTCCACCTCCTGGATTCATATAATTCTCCTGCCTCAGCCTCCTGAGTAGCTGAGATTACAGGCATGCACCACCACGCTGGGCTAACTTTTTGTGTTTTAGTAGAGACGGGATTTCACCGTGTTGCCCAGGCTGGTCTCAAATTCCTGAGCTCAGTCAATCCACCTGCCTTGGCCTCCCAAAGTGCTAGGATTACAGGCATGAGCCACCACACCCAACCCAGAAATATTTTATTTTTAAATAAATACTAAATAATGTCAGTAACTGGTAGAAGCTGAAAAACCACATAGGGTCAAATTTTGTTGACCCTAGAATGTCACTTGTATAAGAAACCCAAGATTAACTGATGTGATTAACTGTCACATTTTCCCACAGTGAAGAATTCTCAGAATGCACGAGATGATTCTATTTTATTAAATCTTTCACCTTACCATGGTTTTTATGTAAAATTTGAGAAATATTAGACAGATTTCAAAATTTAAATTCCTATCTTTAAAAATTTGATAATTATTAAAAATGTTTAATAAATACTTGATGATAATAGGTTGAATCGTGTGCCATATCTGTTGTTATGAGTTAACCAGGGTTAGAGACAGCACAATTTTAAATGTGTGGACTATTAGAAGCTCTGCAGTCCTTACGAAGAGTGTCAGTGAGTGTCAATGGCTGCTATTATAGATCAAACATAATAAATAATAGCAGAATACTAGTTACAAGGAATGTGATTTTCCTGACATTCAGTATTCATATAGTCTTAAGAATTTCTGCCTAATGTATTCTCTTTTGACATTGTTATTTTAACTAAGTACTACCATTTAAATGGTAGTTTATAAAACGTTCACTTGGTTCATAAATATAACCACGTTT